TACTGACTTCAGGTGAGTTGCTTAAATGCCAGGTTACTAGTTAACTACGTCACCACCAGTTGGTTAAAATGCTTCCAAAGCAACATCTCCTCAGTGACCTCAGCCGGGTCAGCATGCAACAGTCTTCTTTCACTTTAGTGTTTTATAGTTATTTATATACATTGGTCTTGTTCAGCAGTACAGTTGGTTAGTGATCTCCCTAATAATCCAACCAATATGTTTCAGCTTTTCTTCCCCACAGAACTAATTCACTCTCCCGCAGTTAAAAAAAAAATAAAAATACATCCCACCTGAACCCAGAGGCTCCATAAAACAACAACGCACAACCAGAGGTGAAGGGAGTTTCCTCCAATCTGGTGTGACAACAGCGCTAAAATGAAGAAGGTCTCTGAAACATTTGTAACACTTTCCCAAAAAAAAACAAAACCCAACTAGATCAGTGTGTACCATCTGTCCTGTGGGAGATAAGTCTGCCTGGCAGCACTAAAAGGGTAAATAACAGTTTTTGTTGTTGAAAAAATACCTAGGGTATTTGTAAATGACAAAAATAGGCTGGCTATTATTTCTTTATCTGTACACGTAGAGAGCAAGGAAGTCTCAGGGTTCACTTTTAGCTAGGAATTAAAGGGAGAATCCACCATACGATATTATGCATGTCGACATACTGTAAGACATAATACTCGCTTCAGATTAGCCACAAGTGTTTTCTTCAAGACTGAAACTTAGCGCTAGGGAGATGCTAGTGTAGACTGCAGACATAGCTAACAATCACACACAGCGTCTCTTCAGTTAAAATAAACCTCTACTATCACCATCTATGTTCAGTTATAGCTCAGAATAAACAACAAAGTTAAAAATGTGGTGTTTACCAGCATGTTTTACACTTTGAAGCAATTCAAAATGAGTTTCATGAGTTTAAGCTAAGCTAACCGTCTTTGTTGTAGCTGCTCTGAAATTAGCAACACCTTAGCTAGAATATGCTAGCATGTAGCTTCTTTTTTTTCCCCTTCCAATTTCAGAGTTGTTCATGACTGTACCTAAACACATGATGAGTCACGAGCTCAACAGCCAAACTGTTCTTTCTTTCTAAATCTAGAATGAGAAAAAGCTCCTGCAGACCATAAAACATGAAATCCAGATCAATCGGCCTCATCGCCAAATCATATCATTTCATACCACGGTGATGCCATTTTGTCACTTCTAATATTCTGTACCCGAGTATTAAAATCATAGTGTTGTCTGAATTTCTTTGTTTATTGACATTTTTATGAACTATAGTAATAAAAATAAAAATAAACCAAAACACCTCACATCTGGCTGGTAGATATTTCTTGGGGTGATTCCTCTACATTTCCTTAGAGTAGACTTTGAGAAGATAATGGAGAGTTTCTTAAAATTTCTTTTGTCAAAGTGAGTACAAGCTGAAGGTTTAGCTGGTATAAAATGCCATTTGGCGCACAAATCTCCTCGAATAATAAAAAAAAACTAATGTAGAAGACAATCAAAACTCTAAATGTATGAAATGACAAGGGGACCAACTAATCAGAACCCACAAAAATCGCCAACTTGTGTATAAAATGGCCCAGAAATGTTTATTTTACTCATCACTACAACAGTCGCAGATTTGGGGGCAACAGAGAATCTAAAGCGTTCATGAAATCTTAACATTTGCTTTAATACTGTCATCGTCATACAGTTTCCATCAATCATTAGGTCAAATTCCCTGAGTGGGTTCAGTATTTTATTCAGTTTTGGGTAGGTTTTCATAAAATCAGGTGAAAACCAACTCCCTCTGCAAAGCTGTTCATATCAACCGTATTTCAACCAAATCCTACTTTACTGCACAGCATTGAGTTTATTCTGAAGAGCTCTAGCATTTAGCCCGATATTAAACAAAAACAAGAAAAAAACAGCATAAGAGAGCATTTTAAACAATTGTACAAATCTTTTCCTAAACAAATAATGACATCATTATATACAGTATGCCACCCTCCCTTCTTGTATCTTTTTTTAAACAAACCGCAGATGCTCTACTGACAATACATAGGTTACTTTCACTGGAACCATTGGTTGATGAACTGGTTTGAATCCTTACCAGAGAAACTAAATGCAACATGGCTGCAGTGTAAACAAGTGAAAGTAAAGTCTTAACGTATTAGTGATGGAGAAATTAACATAATTAAAAAGGGGGTAAAAAAAAAAAGACAGACTTCTAAAACAACTTGTTTCATCATTTATTACTCATGTCACCACTTTCTAAAATGTTATATAAAGTTCTAAGTGTCACTGACTCTAAGGTGTACGTTTTCAGCTCATGACTGGCTACTCAAGCCAAACACCTATTTAAAAAAAATATGTCAAACTCTACTGAATGTCTTTGAAGTCCAGAAGAAAGACGTTCATGGAATGAAAGTTTAAAAAAAAGAAAAGAAGGAACCTGGCCTAACCGCAGCCGCCTCTTCGTTTCATTTATCAGGTGTTAAAGCGGCATTAGGAGCCGGTTCACTTACCGCTTCACAGCCAGAAATGAAACTTTAAAAAGGGTGCATGTGTGAGGGCCGAGCGGCCACTTGAGGCCTGCACAGAATTTCAGACAAGCTGTCAGGCTTCAGTCTGACGCTACAGATGCAACACCTAGAGGTCCGGCACTTGGAGCAGCCACCGTCCTGATGCGCTGAAACCACCAGACTCATCAACTTTTACTTCTTTGCCTTCAAACAAAGCTTCAAGAGCTTAAGTCAAGTAAGTTTTTTTTTTTTTCTTTTACCATTTTGAGACATTGAATTATCCTCCATCCCTGATTTATACATCCAGGTTGTGATGCTAGCCATAATTGAAGGCACGTGTCACGAAATTAGATTCAAGGTTTCCCCTATGCACTGAGCTGTCAGAGTTCTTAAATAAAAGTAATTCAGACTTTCATTTAGAAAGGTTTGCTTCTTCTTAAGAGTTGTGTCAACGGTTTTGCTTTTAGTAGGATTTGTGAAGCAGGCCACAAGAAACTTTAGATGTCTAGCATTGCTAATATGAAGGTTTCGTCACGTCCACCTATACCGTCTTCGCTTCACTATTAGCTTTACCTAAATTTGACTATTTTTAAAACCATCCCTACAATTATGCAAATCTTGACAAATTATAACATATTCTTCAATAGCTGCGTTTCCATTGACTACAAAATGACGCATTTCAAAAATAAATTCACTTAAATGGCAATTTTTAAAAAACGTGTTTTTCGGTAAAAGTTTTTTTTATTGTATCAAAATAGTTCTGTCACAAAACTGCAATTGAATTTTTATTTTTTATTTTTTTGCATCACACGAGTCATGTGACCAACAACCAGATGTTACCACTGGCAGAAACCAAGATGAAGAAAATGACAGGAAGTATTTGACGATGACAGCACGTATGTATAATGACTCATTGCGTGAACAAGCTTATTCACAATTTCAAACGCTTTTTTTTTGACAAAGTTCTGCGCACATTTTTAATGGAAACGCAGCTAGTGAGAATTATGAAAAAAACTTGATAGCTTCTGAAGTATTTGTGTTAAATAAGAAAGTCTACTCATTCATTGATAAACCTAATCTTAGTCATTTTGTTTCCTAAATCATAACACCTCTCTACATTAGCCCATGTCCTTTATTGCAGTCGGTTTGAATTGAGAACTTTAACAGAAAAAGTGACAGTAAATCAACTTTTAAGGCTTTCTCCCCCAGCTAAATCAAACTGCTCTCTTCCATGCAAGAAAATCCACAGAAATCGATGAATACAACGTTAAAATGCGTCATGATTACAGTTCACACCCATCATATTGTTTTGACCTCCATTATGTAAATTGTACAAAAAAAAACAAACAAAACTCAGGGACCTCAACTTTTAAAACAGCCATTTCTCCCATGAAGAATCACAATCTCCATTATACGTCTTTACGCTGATGACTGTTTCCTTTAAACTTTGCTAAATTTACAGACAAGGAGGAACATAAACCCAAGGCACAAACATAAAGGAGCCTCATGGTGACTGAAAAACGAGAAGCTCACAGTTTATGAAAAAAAATCACAGGCACATAATGACCGCTTCACTGACTATCGTAGCCGTAGGAAAATGTCTCGTTTTTGTCTTTGTTTGCAAGACGCAGCCAAAATGCGAGTTTGAAGAAAAAAAGGTAAGCAGGAAAGGGATAGATCACAAATATGTTGGACAAGCAGAACGGGGGCAGGGGGTAAAAACCTCAACCAAAAACAACTGATATTTCATCTACAGTTAGACAAATATGTTTAATAAATGAAAAGACTTGACAAATGAATAAATTAATCAGGAGAACTGTCCTGTTTGAGCCATTTCATCTGCCTTCCACTTAAAAGGACTCTTAACGTCAGTAAATAGAGCCAGAAACCAAAGTAAAATGCAGGTTAGGATTCTTCACCCGACAGCTCTTTAGTACCTCCCTGTGAATCAGTGCAGTATCGTCTAAACCCAGTGCAGGCGTGCTGCGATGAATCCGTATACGAGCATCAATCTTCTATTTTACAGGCTGCAGCCATGAGTCAGTGTTTTTTCACCTTTCTCTCACCGTATCAGCAATCTGCTCACAAGAGAGATGGAGCGTTTATTTATTTATTTTTTTACAAAATGACAGTTGACATCGACGTAGTACAAACCTAGATTTTTGGAAGTTGCTGCTGAGTTTTAATTTGCTTTAAAAAAAACAAAATAAAACAGATATTTCACACCAGCTGGCCTCAGGTTTAAGTCTGTATGCTTCAGAAGAAACGGGGTTCGACAGCTTACAATATTTAGGCATCAAATCCAAACACAGGCCTTTTTAAATAACAGCGTGATGTAGAGCGTCGCTTTTAGGAGTGCATACCTGTTTGTATTTCAGTGTGGAAAAAAAGGTAGAAAATAAAAGTAAAGTGCCATCTGCAAACATTTTTCCCCACAACCAAACATCTTCCCATAGGGACAAAAAAAATTCTCAGATTTGCTACTTTTCTTTGTTTTTTTCGAACAGGTACGTTGTAGAAAGCTGGTTTTGGGTGACTTTGAAAATGTTGGATTTTGGGAGTTTAAGAGAAGCAAAATGTGTTTCTGTACCAGTGGGGGGGAGAAGGGGAATTGTTTGGTCACAGCAAAGTCCGCGATCATCTCTAAGAGTCAAAAATGTTGAAACTTTTGCCAAATGGGTGAAATTGTTTCCAAAGATTTCTGCCACCGTCATCGTTCCTGTTTTCTCGTGCGAGTAAGCCCGAATGGGACTGAAGGAGGAAAAAAAAAAAAAAAACTCCCCAAAAAATACATATTTATGGTGTTAAGGGAGTGAAATGGGAGCGCTTTTTCCCCCCTCAGCTGACCCTTCTGTCACAGAGGAGCTTTCGTCAAAACCTTCTTCTTCTTTTCCTCTTGTCCCCAAACAGTCCAGAGAAGAAGAGGAGACAACAGCAGGCGGGAACGGATCAAGACTTCGCTAAACGTTTCCATGCCGATGTGGAAATGCGTGTCCTCTTGTGTGCGACAAAGACGAGAAAAAGACCAAAAAATAAAATTTAAAAAATACGCCAGAGACTATAAGATGGTGTATGAGAAGTTGCCTGTGTGTGAGCGTGTGTGTGTGTGTGTGTGTGTGTGAGAGAAGGTCCTCCGTGGGTGCGTCTACGACACTCCGTTCACCAGCGCCAGAGCGTCCTGTTTGTCCTTCTTCATCCCCCGGTCTCTCAGGGGTCTCTGATGGTGATGGCGGGACTGGCCGTCCCCCCCGACGGCGATGCCGCTCTGGGATGAAGAAGGCCCTCCTCCTCCTCCTCCTCGGCCGCCTGATGAGTGCTGCACGCTGCGCTCGTTGTTTCCATCCACACGGATCTGTGGGGCAAAACAGAACATTACATCTGCTCCTACACTCCCAGGTTTTTATTAACATATTCATCCCTCATGACTGTAACTAGAGATGCACCGATCTGATATCAACACCTGTATCAGTACAGATATTGAACAAAATTCTTTCTGTGACAGTGTGCCTGATCCATGAGGGTGGATCTATTCAGACTAATTCTATGCATTGTGCTCTGACATCATGCTTTATTTATTTCACATTATATTTAGAATTTCTAGCTGCTCTTTCTGAACCATTTGAAAGAAACTTGTCTGCAGTTTATTTTTACATGTTTGACCAAAAATAGTCGAACTATTGTTTTTATTTTCCATTACTCCTAATTGGACTGACTGAACAAATTAAAGTTGTTTTGTTTTTACATGTCTGACCATTCTTGTGAAGTTATTGGTGTATTTAAGTGTGCTATACTGGTGCACAGTTAGCAAATAAATGTGTAATTCGGTACACTTATGTCTGCATTTAAAAAAAGAAAGAAAGAAATTCTTTAAGTCAATTCAGTTATTTTTCTGTGTCGGATTGGTATCGGCCGATACTAAACCTCAGACATAGGAATGGGAAGTGGAAAAAAGTGGATCGGTGCTTCCCTAAATTCAACCAGTGACGGGCCAATAAATACAAAACAGCATAATTGGGAGGAAAATAGTTGGTGTAACTAAGACAAACAAAATCTCATCTTGACAAAGACGAGATTCAGTTTTTTTGAGGCCAAATGAAACTAAAATCTACGACACTCCGTTCACCAGCGCCGGAGCGTCTTGTTTGTCCTTCTTCATCCCCCAGATGGGACCCGAATAAAACTGTCTTCATTTGGCCAATTCAATGGCCAATGGGACAGGACATCACCTGTCCTTATGACGGTGAGCCACAAACGGCCCAGGGGCCACACTTTGGACACCCTTGGTTTGAGTTTCTGGAACGTAGAGATGAAAATAATTTCTGTTGCTCATATTAGTAAAAGTTCACCTGCAGGGTGTCTTCCTGGCCTCGAGGCTTTGGGTCCCTTACATGACGAGGTCTTGGCTCGCCCCACTGCATGTCATCACCTAGGCAACACAAAAACAAATACCTTTTAGTCAAAAGAAAGTGACCGTGTATAATAAACCTAAAGTAAAAACCGCCTTTATTCCGAAGACAATCTAGATGATGGTTATCAGCTAAAAAAAAAAAAAAAGGTGGTCACATTCTTCAGATTTTTCATTTAATTAGTTAAGCCTTTTTTAATGCAATAATAAAAATATAGTAAACAACACAAATAAACCATTAAAATCCTTATTCAGATGGGAAAAAAAACCATTGCATTGCCTAATGCAGTAACATACATTCATGTAGTCAACTTGAACTGGGTGAATATAAAAAAATGCCACTTGAGTTTTGAGTAGAGCATATTTACAGACAGGTGTTTATATTTGAAATTGTTTTTTTGTAGCAAATGGCCCTTTTTAAAATCTGCATACAAAAGTTAAAGATTAATCAATAACTCAGTAGACGAAATAATCGATTAATCACAATTAATCAGATTAATTGTGTCAGCCCTACACACAAAGATTTGTATTCATTTCAGGTTGCTAACCTCTTGCTAGCAGAGGAATAACAATAATCACCTTTATACCCTCCCCCTCCTCTCCCTCTGCCCCCGCGGCCTCTCAGGCCCCCCCCTCCAGCTCGTTTCCTGCCGTCTGTCCGCCTGGGCAGGGACCCGCCCCCCGTCATCAGCTCCTCGGTGGGAGCCAGGGACCAGTCGCTCAGCTCCTCTCGGTGGTCTGACTCCGTCTCTGAAGCGTTGGACGCCTCTGAGTTGGTGCCTGTGGAGTCGAAAAAGTTTACGGTAAACGAGGACGTTTACTGCAAACGTCCTTGTTTGCGGTAAACGAGGAAGAGTTACGGTGACACACCTGAGGTGAACGCCGCCCCGCCTCCTCTCCGGCCCCGTCCGCCTCTTCCTCCCACATAGGGCTTCCCACCTCCTGCTCCTCTGCCCATCCCCATTCCCATCCCGTTATCGAACACATAGGATTTGTCTTTGGGGTTTCGGGAGCCTGTCCCTCCCCCTCCCCCTCCGCCCCCTATCTGTCGCAGCTGCTCGTCAATCTGAAGGCGCTCCAAGCGCAGCTGGTCCACCTCCTGCAGACACAGAAACAGGAAATTACATTCCCAGAGAGATGACATAGTCCTGACCAGAGTGTGAGCTGGTGTACCTCCAGTAAAAAACAAAAAACAAAAAAAAACTAGGGGTGCATCAATTGCAGACTTTTGCTCGATCACCAATCTATAACACAATTTCTGAGATTTCTTTTAAATTAGGTTTCATTTCAACATTTAAGACTTTTTATGAAAAACCTGTTATCGATAAATTGGCACTTTCTCACGACACAGAAAAAAGCTGGTTAGACAGTTTATTAGCAGCTAGTAAACTTAAAGTAGCCTCAACTGCATTTAGTCACAAAACGTCCCTAGATACTAGCTGGAATAGTCCAGCCTCAACAAAGTGCAAAATTAGTTTTACGTCTAAGTATTGTCAATCTCCCAAAATTAAGGAAATTGTTGCAGATTTATCAGTGCACAAATACACAACACTATTAATCTGTCTTCTGGGATGCAACACTCACCTTAAGGTAATTGAGGTGATAGTCCAGGAGCACCGTTGCATTGGAAATACTTTCCTTGGTCCCCACAAACACAAATGGCACCATTCCCTGAAGAAGAACATCAAACATGGTTTGAAGTGGAAGAGATATGAAGAAAATCCAGAAACTGAGGCGTTTTCATCCCGACACCACTGACCTCATCTGCTGCTGCCGCCGCTGCCGCCGAGGGCTTCTTGTCGTTCTCCGGCTCGATTCGAACCCTCACCACACCGGACTTATCCACCACTTCCTGGATCAGCTTGCCGTTCTTTCCAATCACTTTTCCTGCAGGGGGCCCGAATCCGGTCAGTGGTGAGAGAAAGCAAATATGAACTAACGAGTCAGAGCGCATGATCTCATTATGCTCACCGACTAAGTTTCGAGGAACTTTGATGATATCTTCGGAAAACTCCAGGTAGCTCCTAGCTATTCGGACTGCATCCTGGTCCTGGGAAAAGCAGACCAATTAAAAGGTCGTTACCCTCTTCTTCATCACGTAGTACCTCGTTGGTGTGGCAGTTGATCTGGAGCAGCCTGCCTACCTCCCCGTATATGTGGAAGGTGCACGTCTCTTCGTCCAGGTCGATGTTAGTGACTCCAGGGACTTTTCGCGCCTGCTGAATGTTGGCCCCGTGAGTCCCGATGGCCAGACCCATCAGGTCGTCCCGTACCGCAAACTGCTCATGAAACCGAGATGCCAGCTGTCTGGAACTCTGAAATAAACAAAAATACATAAATAATTTAAATGATTTGCCTTTTATGAGAAATATCCACAACCTAAACGTATTTTATGGCTCTAAACAAAACAAGTTTAATTTAGCTGGACTGAAGACAAAAAAAACTCTTCCAATTTCAAAGGATTACAGACTCCTGATCTTAACAAAAGCAAACAGATGATGTGCTTGTAACCAGAGTGAAACCATCTCAAAGGGTGTGAACAGTTTTGTGAGCGTACCTCCAGCTGCCTGCTGGCCTCCTCGTTCCGCATCATGAGCGACAGTTTGGTGCGGAGGCTCCTGAAGTGCATGTCGCTCATCATGTTGGCCCGCTTTGTCGTGACCTCGTTCACCGACTGCAACAGGAGGTAAAGCCAGATTTCACTCAACAAGGCGCTGCGTACGGACACATCCACACAATCCACAACTCAGGCAGACCACTATGAACGATAAAATCTGCTGACGAACCAAGATGACCAGCTGCTTTTTCTCAGAGTCGTAGGTGATGCTGAACGCGCCGACAGCTTTCTTGAAGTCTTTGTGCGCCGACTCCTTGGAGCACCTGGAAACGAGTCATTATGTTTTATTTTTGTTTGTGTTTATAGAACTGAAAAGGGGCGGTGTGGGTTATGAATGAGACTTGCATCTGTCGCAGGTCTTCAGGGACTTCCAGCCTGATCTTGATGAAGGTGTTTTTGGTGGCTGGCTTGTTCGGGTTGACCGGCCGTAACCGCTCCAGCGTCACGATCTCGTTCAGCGTGGCGTCGCACGCCGCGTACTCGATCACGTAAAACTGAAAACAGGAGAAGGTGAGGGTCAAGGGTTCCTAAAGGAACATTTACAACAGACGATCAACGTTTTTACCAAACTAAAATCTATTCTAAAGGATGAATAAAGATACGTGGATCCAGCCGTACCTCTCCTTTGACCATGCGAACCTTGGCCAGCCACCATCCACACGGCTCCTTGTCATTCGCTCTGGAGTACACCTGACAAACACACACAGTTCATTTCTCAATAACCTTTTCACTGATTCTCAATAGCTTGTATTTTAACTCCATTCTTTGCGCTCAAGTTTTAGCAATTCTTGAAAAGAAAATGGAACCACTCCCACCTCAACTTCATCGCTTTCATTTATCTCTTTGCTGAAGCCTGTCGGAGGAGGGAAGCGAACGTCCTGGAACGGGATCTGACGCTCCGGCTGCCAACTGGGACACGCAAACAGTAAAAACAGACTTCATAACGGTGGCCTAAGAAGGAAACACAGCCATTATGTCTGCCTTTTATTACATTACTCACTTGTTTTCAAATGCCACAGTGACGGATCCCTCGTGGACGTCCTTCACAAAAGCCTGAAAGAAGCAAAAAAAAAAAAAAATTTATAGTTACCGTGATGCATTGTTCTGGTAAGAAAAGAAAAAAAAAAGAAAATAGAAAAATAAACAAGCCTCTGCCATTAATGCAACTGATTCACACAAAAGAGGATTAGGGACATCAAGAAAGAAATTATGACTTTTAATACAATATGACATTTTTTGCAGATTTCTGACTTTCTGCGAAAATTCAGACTTTTTCACAAAATTCAGAATTTTTTCACAAAACATAGACTTTTCTCTAAATTAAGACCTTTTTTTCATAAAATTGAGACTCGCCTCAGAATTGACTTTTTTTGCAGTTCCGACATTTTCAGCAGAATTCTTACTTTCTTTGCTAAATTCTGAGTTTTTCTTAAAATTTTGACTTTAATTCTCATTAAAAAATTATTTTTCTTTTTTTTTCAGTGGCTCTATTCCTCTTCCACAGATTCTGTAAGACATTTGACTCCAGTTTGACTGTACCTCGCTACAATGTGCATTCATGTGCATAAAAGATTGCAAATAGGACACATCCTGCCTGTAAGGAAACGACTAATTCAAAGAGTCAGAGTGTTGCCTGAGGAATAGCACCGGGCTTAAAGGCTTGCTGTCAGCGACGGATGAAATCAAGCAAAAACAGAAGCTTCCCATAAACCTCTGAAATAGTCGCTGAAAACCTCCCTGAGTTGTAGAAGTGAACAGGATTACAGTTAAGGAGTCACACTAATCAAGACATGTCCAAAGTCCAGCCCGGGGGCCAAATGCGGCCCGTGGTCAAATTTCATCCGGCCCGCAGCCTCTGTCATAAAATCAATAACGTCTGGCCCGCACGTAGAATTAATACATTGGGCAGCAGTACTGTTACCTGCATAGGGCGGAGCTTACACACTAAATGTTGTTCCTCATTTACCCACTAGAGGGCAGCAGCCCGTGTGACTCAGACCATTTGCAGCTGGAGCTCAATGAGCTGCAGTGTGGTCACGGTCGGCACCAGCAGCTTTCTCTAGCGAACTTTTACGACAGCTGGATAAGGACAGGTTTCGAGAGATTCGAGCATTTGATAAGAAAATGCTAAGCTTGTTTGTTGGTTGGGGTTGTTGTTGGTTGTTAGGGTTGCCACCTGTCAGAAATCAAAATAAGGGACGCGTCGTCCTAGTCTCATGGGGGGGGGCGCTGCGCTTCGACTAGGGTTACCAAGGGACCAGTCCCTATATATGGGGTGCTGCGGCAGTTGGACGCAATATCGCAACACGGTGAGTGAAACAATGACTGGGGTAGCCTACTATATAAAGTATTCGGGAACCGCTTCTTTGTTATTACATATACACATTTGTAGAATACGGAACAAATGTGACAGGGAGCTTCATTTAACAGTCAAATACGGGACGGTTCCGTATTTTACGGGACGAGGTGCAACGCTAGTCGACATATTTGTGTGAGAAAACATTCTCGGTTGTGAACGGACTCTCACTTACGATACATCTCAGCCAGACTTGGCCTATGTGCTGCAGTCCAGATCTCAGCATCACATTAATGGAGACAAGTCATTTGTCATTTACAATAAGTTTCTGAATAAATTTTGTTTTTAAAGATCAAAATAAGTCATGAGTTCAGACAGGTTTTCAGTTTTCACTCCAGAATAATAAACTTTTAAAAATCTAATCAACCTTTACTAATATGTCATATTTCAAATGAGCCCTGCACTTGTTGATATGACTATTACTTGCTCATTTTTCTGTTATTTTATTTAAAAATTCTGTAAATATTGTTAGAAAAAAGTTAAAGTGTTAAAAAAGTGAAGTTAAGTGAATATTCAATTACATATGATATGCATGTTTCAAAGGAACCAAAAGACATGCTTAAGATCGCTGAAATAAAAATAGAAAAGCAAATGTAAAACATAGAATGGCTTGCTGAAATTTGTTTAAATATATTGCTGTTCTATGTAAAGAACGTCCGCCAAGGTCGGCCCCACTACATTTTTAACACACCAAATCTGGCCCCCTTTGCAAAAAGTTTGGACACCCCTGCACTAATCCAAGTAAAAACTTAACAAATGTTCATGTGCTGGTAGTGAAGTGTTGGCGTTTTTCTGCTGCCATCATTAGTGTGCATTCACACTAGAGCTGTTTAGTCCACTTTAATAGAACTCTCGTTCATTTGCCTACAAAGTCCAGTTCTTTAGTGGAGGTGTGAATGCATAATCAAACTCTGATGTGGACCAACAAACTGAACTGTGGTGCAACCAAAACAAACGAACCAGTCTAGCGGTAATGGAAGAAATTACCAAACACAAAAGAGAAATCAAACAACCACTAACATCTGATGTTTTTCCATTTTTGTTTACATTTCATAAAAAAGGAAGTTGCTTTCAGTGCCTTCTTCAGACGTTTCTGTGCCGTTTCCTTCACTGTTTCTTGGTGCAGCGCCACCGCAGGCGAGGAGGGGAACAGGCTTTTCAAAGGCTTTAGTTTGTTTGACAAAGAGCAGTATGAAAGACAATCGTGTCAACTGAAAATGTAACAAATGTTGCCGTTTTGGTTCCCAAGTGAACAGAGTCAACCAGATCATCAAGTCTGAAAACACACCAGGAACAAGATTTATGTTACATTAACTCTCACACACACCAGACATTTAAATCACCCCTAACCATAAAAATACGTGGGGGTCCACAGCATTACGCTTGTCAGACTTTAAAAGGTTACTGAATACACCAGAGAGTTTCTTAAACAGGCTACATGAACGAGTAGACAGACACTAAACGCTTGTCTAATGTTTTTAATCAGGCTCCCGTTCTAATTCAACATCCGTCACAAAAGCATTTTAAATTTACTCTATAAAGAAACTGAAATATCTGCCCAATTCTTACTCCTGTTTTTTCATCACTTAGAAGATTCCTGGTTCATACAAATGGAGAGTTGTTGTTGTTTTTTTAGTGGTTTGACAACATTCTGAACATTTAGGTTTTAGGATCTGTACGTTTCCCACAGGTCACACCAAAAATACTGACGTTAGCTTCTGATTTGGGAGTGTGATAAAGAGTTATTTCACAAATTTTTGGCATCTAAACCAGTTTGGGTAAACCTCACTTCATAATCCATAGTTATTTCTAGGGCAACATACATGATGAGAAGCAAAGTTGCTATTATTTAGCGTTAAACTGAACTTTAGGGCAACATCTTCACCCTGAGCTAAGGCAACCAACTAACATGGCTGCCAATTGACATGAACTCCTTAGACTTGTTGGATATAGATTGGATTATTCTCCTTTAAAAACTGTTTTTTTTTTTTTAGTTGACAGTTTCCAGTCTGTGATTGAAATATTTTATTTGTAAAGCTAAAGTGCTACCCAGTTTTTTCAGTTCCAGTTTAAGAAATATAGGGACCAATCTAACCCTGATACCACAGGTCTAGAGCCCACCTGTTTATTCTGTAATGTTGATTTTTATTTTTTGACAACAGATTAAGATTAACAGATTTTGACAACAGATTAAGGGGTCAATAATGTCAACATTTTCAGTCAATAATGTCAACATTTTCAGCCAATATGTAACCATTTTCATAATTGTCAGACTGACAAGTTACGTGGCGTGCAAATAAGTGCCAGAAATCAACCACACAGCATAGTAGGAAAAGGCATAGAGTTGTAAAGGAGAGAAGGTATAACAAGATATTGAACTGGTTTGTATATAAAGGATGTATATGTACGCTGGTGTTCGGATGAGATGGATACAGATGATCTGCTTTTGTACGTTTTAGGACAAGAATCCCCCTTCCCAAATCAACACTTTATAGTGCGTGCGATCTGGTTGCAATGCCGAAATTAAATATAAAATGGACATTTTGTTAGGTAACATTGCTTCTGTGGAATACAGCATGTTTACTGATATAGAGCAGCTAACTTTTATGAAATTCAACACATCTTAGATCACATTGTCAGAAGTGTGGCTCTCTCAGAAGTGTGGATCTCTTCAGTGAGATATTTCCTGACTGGCAACCTGCATCAACAACCCAGTCTGACCAGTTAATTTACAGCCAGTTTTTTTTTTTTTTTTTTTTTTTACAATCAACTTTAATTAGTCTCTTATAAACATCTTTTGTTTTTATTACTACGGATAATTTTTTTTTGTCAAGACCTTAATAACTTAACAGCAAAATGTAAATAACAACAATAATAATAAGTCATATTTAGTTAAAAAATAGCATCTTATTCTTATAGCCTCTAGTGAAAAGAGATTGTTTTTATTGTGTGGAGCATTTATTTATTAGATACCCAAATACCAGAATGACCAACACTGTGCATAGAAATTCAAGGTGTGGAAAATCTTAGACAAATCTAATCATCTAAATTTAAGTATGTCTGTTTTATCATATTACAGAATGCAGAGTGCTAACCTGATTTTCTTTAATCGTTTACTTGATTTATACTGTCAAATAAAGCCTAGAAGCTCAAAAAACACACCAACGTCAGTTGTTTTTCATACACACTTGAAAAAACGATTAAATCCAACTCCATCGATTTCAAGACTGGGTTCTAATTCAGTCTGTTATTAGTATTAGCATAACCTGATTTGTTCATTCTCCCACCAAGCAGCCATTGCCATCAGCCATTGCTTGTTGCTAATTTATTAATCATATTGTCTGAAACATCATTGTAAGTTCAGTTGTTTTCATCTGTAAGAAGCTCCTCTCCATCACTTAAACGGAAACAATCACGTAGCCTAAATTAACCGCTCTGGTTTCGCAGACACCCGGCCGGGATGTGGACGTTAATTAAGCTCGCATTACGGAGGGGAAACACAAATAAAACGTAAAGTTTTGTCTTCTGGTTTATTATTACACCAACCAACCGATCTAGGTGGAGGCTGGTCACAGACAAGAGGCCCACATCCACCAACAGGCATCGCAGGGCTAGCTCGGCGCTGTTATTTTGTGTTATCCATTGTTTATATTTGAACAAACTATGGCAACTGTAGCAAAACGCGGTGTAATTTATGTAACTTACCTTATAAAAGGCTCCACTTGTCCCTCTCACTTCCACTACAAGCTCCTCCATGACGCAACTTATCACAGCTCGCTAGCTAGCTAACTACAGTTAGCAATGTTAGCAGCTAGCAAGCTGGCTAGCCCGCTGCTAGCCAAGGTAGAGTTTCCAACCGTGGGCTTCCCTGCTTTGTCAAATGACGCTGCCAGCTAGATGGAAGAAGGGACTAAGGTAACCGTGCGCGACGGTGACGTTGTTCTTCGTTTTGCACCGTTCGTCAATTCTCTGTCTGCTCTTCGCGGCTTTTGAATTCGGAGCGAATAAGAAAATGAAAGGCAGATGGCTGTCCAAGTTAGCCCGTGGAGTTAGCTGGTTTATGTTAATGTTGTGTGATTAGTCGGGAGGCAGCTACTGCTGGCTGCATCTCTCCATCATGTGACGTCTACCCTTTCTTCCTCGGCTGCCATCCGAAGCTGCTCTCACTAAAACATGCCTCTTAATGCTGCCCGCGGGTAAGAAGGAGGAATACATCCAATATAATCCCAAATGAATTCATTAAAAATATTTGTTTATATATAAAAAAGCAAATTTTCTGTTGTTTACCACCAGCTTTCTCCTGATGTAATGTAGATAATATTCCAACATATATTTAATGTATTGGTGCATTTTATTGCTGTAGTTTTCAAAATTTGATACAAAATACCTCTGGTGATACTTTGTCTTTTGTGGGACATGGTACATTTTTGTATCAGACATTAGCAAGATCAATAATATGTAGATTACAGTAGAACTAATAAGTTGAGGTGAAGTAAATACAGGGCCTGTATCACCGATGTCGATACTGATACTAATACCGATACTTTTTATTATCTAGGTTTGATATATTATCACATTTCTGGCCTTTGGGTGTTTTTTCCTTTGAGTCATTTTGTTAAAACCTATAGAATTTAGACAAAATGTATGTGTTTACAAAATAGTTTCAGAACATGTCAATATGAGAAACAGAAAACATAGAAAAACAAAACAAATGTGTGCATTTTTTCCCTAAACAAATGAAGTGCAAAAAAATATAGAATTTGAGAGCAAATCAAGACTAAATCTTTTCAGAGGTAGCATTGAGAAACTACGATATAAAATTAAAATAACATTTGAATCTGAAATTAAAGCATCAATCTTATCAGTATTGATCCGATACATAGTATCGATGTTAATATTTTGGCTCAACCTGGCCAATTGTTCTAATAACAAACCCAAACAATCACAAATATGCTCCAACCATGTTGATTTTTTATTTAAATAGCTGCATATTTTAAAGATTTGCTAAAATATTATTTTGTTACCTAAGGACATTAGAACATTATGAATCATATCAAAATCTTTTCCACCTTTAATTTGTTAAATTGAAGTGAAAGAAAAAACATGTGGCAGGAGAAAAAAACTCAACCATAAAAAAGCTGCACTAAACTGCTTGCATTTGTAAATTAAAAAACCTTTAAATTAAAACTTTGTCTTGGCACCTTTTTATTTATATTTATCATGCAGCCTTCCTGAGTTCATCCCTGGTAGTGAACAGCTCGGCTCATTGAGACTTTGAAGTAATTTGCTGGCTTCAGACAGTGATATTTTTAACGCGTATCTGTTTTCTAGAGAAGAAAAAAAAAGACAAACATGATTTTGAAGGAATAGCAGAATTTATTTTTCCTTGTGGCTATCCAATATAGGAGTGTCTAATTTAGGCTTCTTGAAAAGCAGAGTGTACTCTTTGCACCAACAAATTTTTGATATTTTGTTTGATGAGACTGATTGACATGACTCGGCTGTTACCTGTGTTTTTTGGCACGATTTGCACTACTCCTCAGTAGGGGTGGGCAACATGAATGATGATAAAGACAATGATAATAAGCTGCCATGAAATGCTGCCAGGATAACATTTATTACTTAGTTTTTAGGTAACTGTATGACTGCATGAGCACCACAAACACAAATACTTCTCTTTAAAAACTTTCCATTAAATGGGCTTCTTCAGGATCCCACTAACTTAAAGAAATGTGATTTAAACTGCACATAATGACTGCCTTTAATCATATTTACTGATGTTCTCATGAAACAAACGGTGGAGGAAACGGTAAAAAAAAGACATATCCGATAGTGCTCAATTTTTTAAACATCAACTGAAATGTATTGAGACAATGATAAATTAAAATTCTTATCATTAGAAATTTATCACGATAAATGATAAATAATAAATGATAAATGTCCACCCCTACTCTTCACACTAGAGGAGCTCCAACTGGATGGATTGACTGAGAACCTGTGCTTATTTGGACTATTTGAACTCAAAGAAGGAAACCGAATCAAGCAGTTTCTTCAGCATTTTTATCTGAAGTCACGTTGTGAGATTGTGACAGTATTACAGAAGAAGATACATATAAAGAAGAGAAGATGGATATGATCTCACAAACATGAAAACCTACAAGCAGCAACATTGTCTCCTCAGGTTTACTAGTCTGAAAAAAAGACATCTTAAAAGAAAGTAAAGCCACTGTGAAGGCTTTTGTTGAAAGAACAACAGTAAATTGCTATTTTACAGCACTTACAGAATAACATTACAAATCTCTGTCAGAAACCAACATGTTGGATGACGCTGAGCAATGGCTTCTTTTTTTCAGTCCACACAAGCTATACAAAAGACAACACCAACTACCAATCAGCTCCCATGTGAATGTTTTTTAATATTTCTGTTGGGATACATGGTGTGAAATGATTTGGACATCTGTGACAAAGTAGTCAAACCAGTTTTCCTTAGATGCAAAAAGAAAAAACATTCGGATTTGAATCCAGGGAAACATTTTGATGAAGGAACACTGAAATGTCCAATGAGCTCCATCTTACAATTAATATGCCTTGCTTCTTCTTCTTTATTATTATTATTATTATTATTATTATTATTATTATTATTATTTTTAAAGAATTATGGAAAAAAGTTATATAAAAAGTGCACTTCCCTCTACCATATGGTACTCAAACAGTTCGTTTAGCTTAATAACAGCGTCTTGTTGCCGTTCACATGTATTATGCAATGTTAATATGATATGATTTACTCTTACATACAACTTTAGTAGATATACTAGACTACATTTTTCAAAACGTCTTGACATCCATCCACTTAAGAGCAAACATGACACATAAATAAAAAAAACCCCAACATAAATCAACTGCACTAACTTGTAAAACTAGCAAGAAAAGCGATAAAGAAAGGCAAGTATGCTAATTATGTTACACACTTATAAAGAACTTAGTGAAATGCATTACAATGGCTGATCTAGAATCTAAGAAGTGTGGAGTATATTCTCCCCAATCTTCCGGCCAGCTTCCTCACCAAACATGATAAAAAATATCATTTTACATGATGCAGTCTTCTTACGGTCTTTGCAATTCCCACTGAGGCTCGGCTCCGAGTTGTAACACTGAACGCGTTGAAGCTGTGTCTGGTATCATACACCAATCTAATGCGACTCCCTTAGAAGGTTTCTCGAAGCATGAACTTAAAGAATGAAAAAATGTTAAAACGTAGACAGAGCACTTGATCTCTGGATTTGCACAGTGTTTGGTGGGTTCCAGGTAAAGACTCAAGATCCACATCCAATATGGCTACACGCACCGTCACAGCAGCCTCTCCTATTCCCTGGGAAACTATTTAATATTGGCTCTGTGCGCTACTGTAAAAGGGTTTTTTGGATTTCAGTGGCAATAAAGATGGTCTTCGGTATTGTTTGGTGGAGGACAGATGTCTTGTTATGGCGGAGGAGCGACATGGCTTACTGCTATCGTGACCAGGTGTGGACACGGCGTGCTTTGGAGACGGGGTTGGCCAGCAAAGGATTCGGCTCCTCATAACTTTAGAGCTAATCATTTTCTGGTACATCCATAATACAAATCTCCTGTTCCACTAAGCTGCCTCCTTGATTTGAGATCTTTCTGACCACTGGAGGACAGGGAACCCACCCTCATATAAAGGAAACCAGTAGTAGCCAATTAGAAGATACTTAGGTTTGGTGATTAATTAATGGTCAGTTGCTACAAAGGGCCACTGTGTGTTCAAAGAAAATACGCCCACACTATTACACCACCACTACCAATGGCCTGTTAATAAGCAAGATGAAGATATGCATCATTGTTGTTTCCAGTAAATTCCTACTCTAGTATCTCAGTTTGAAATCGAGACTCATTGGGCCAGGTGATGAAGTTCTAATCCGTTACTGTGACCCTTTAGGTCAGCCTTAGGTTCCTGCGTTTAGCTGACAGGAAAAATGTCATTCCTGATGACGGCACTGATCAGTTGATGAAACTCCTAAAATGCTCACTGATCTACATCTGGATGTATTGTTAGTGCTTGGTGAAAAGTAGGCCACAGTGATACAATACAAAGAGCCATACATTTCACTGTCAGAGTGTTTGATGCTCTGTTACACTAAGGGCTTTGAAGCTGAGTTATGTACATCATGTTCCTCCGCCTGCAGTCCAGTAATAAGGTTTCTGAGTGTAAAGCAAACTGTGTTTCTGTGCTCAGTAAATAATCAATATGGCTTAGTGGATATCTTCATGCAGTCTGTTCCTCCTGGATAGATTCATTTACACTGGACTTAACTTGTGCTATGAGGGCGGTTACAGTTTGTTTTTGCAGTTCTTTCCAACCCTGACGGTGGGGATGCTGATGGGGAGACAACGCGTTTTCTAGGGAAGCCTTGTGAAAGTATCCACACTGGTTTTTACATTATGATTACACTTTGATCTAAGCCATGGGTGAAGAACTGTAGTCTGGCAACTTTTAGATGCGTCTCTGGTCCAACATAGCATCCTTAAATCAGTCAGCTTCTAAATCTTGACTGTTGCCCTGATTAACATTCTCCTGGTGCGTTGATATTCAATGACAAACTGTATTTATTAGCAACATGGTTTCTGAGTACAACTGATTGCACTTGGTTATATTTAGCACTTTACTATGTAAAGGAGATCAAGTGCATATGCAAGACAGGCTTTTTTACGAGCAAATGTTTTTGAAAGCCACGTATCATTTTCCTTCCGCTTCACAATTGCGCGCCGCTTTGTGTTGGGTTATCATGTGAAATCTCAGAAAAACATGTCTGTGGTCGTAGCATGGTAAAGTGAGTAAATGTTGAAGGAGGATGAATACTGTTGCGAGGCCACAGACGGCCACAAAAGAGAACGGAAGAGAGCCGAGTTGATCCGCCAAAGTCCCATAAGACTGAGATCGGATCTTTCTGCATTTGCACGCAAAGGGAGAGCTGGCCAGGCCTTTTCCTCGGAGGTAAAAACATGGAGGGGGTATGTTTACATCAGGAGTAGAGGAGAAAGAGGACGCTTACTTTCCCTCTGCGTGAGAGAGCGCTATGGGTAAGAGGAACTCTGAAATCAATATGTGGCATGCTACAGAGCAACCCATTAAGGGTCTGTTTTCGAAAACCTTGTCAAGGTGCTTCCAGTCAGGCTCACCTTGAGTATTTTCCTCCATATATATTTGCTACGTCTTAGATGTTACTTGTGAGCAAGATCAAGTCCTCCAACAAACAAGCCACTGAAACGGGATGTCTGGTAGTTTAGCCGTCGCCTCCTGCGCTACCTCTGCTCCTCTAAATGGTTTGTGAAGGTTATGGGTCAGGCAGCGTTTTAGTTGTTAAGGCAGTAGAAAAAAGTCTAGGAAGTCCTGTTTCCAAATGGAATAAGAGCTAACATATGGTCAACGATAAGAACAAGACAATACAGCATTATTAGGAAAGTCAGTGGAAGAGTTTTCACACTATTGTAGTCTAAAAGGCAGCATCGTTATTATATGCCACTCCCCAATTCATCGCTTCTGTTCAAGAACAAGAACTCCGTCGACATTTCAGTCCTAACATGTCTTTCTGTCGTCCGCTGAATGCACATCACTACTAGCGTCAGCATAAACCTTCCCTGTCATCTCAAACTAGAAAAGTTCCCCTTCAGACTCCCATATCCCATTCCTCCTTCTTTATATAAGTTACTCCTCTTATCTCCTCTCTAGAAATGCCTCCCTGTTCTCTTCTTCCTCAACATGGACAGTTAGTCTTTGTTTCCGTCCCCTGTGTGAGTCTCACTCTCCCGTCTTCCCGCTCCACATCCCTGTAGAGCAGGGACTTCTGGGCCTTCAGGCGGCAGGCCAGCGACATGAAGATGGAGTCGACATTCTGACTTTCCTTTGGGTCCTTCGCTGACGTCTCGAACAGCAGCATGTTGTGGGAATCCGCGAACTTCAATGCCATGTTAGAGGGAACCTGTGGAAAATGGTGACGTTCAGGGAAAGCTTGGCGCTGAAGTGTGAATGAAAACAAATGAATCAACATTTCCTTGAGTTCACCAACCTGGATTTGATCCACAAGGTCACATTTATTTCCCACCAGAACTCGAGGCACTGACGCCGACACCCGATGGCCATTGCACTCCTGCAACAAATTGAGACACAAGAATCAGATTTGGATTCAGCTGTATCGGCTAGGTTTGTGCGCACGTGTTAGCAAATCAGTGAAACTGAAAAACTCACACTGACTCATTATGTTCTTTTTGCTTATATGACGGCATATCAAATTTATTGTAGACTGAAGAAAAGGAGTACAATTCCGTCAGAAAATTCAAAAATTTTATCGAAAAAAAACAAGGACATTTCTGAGTTTGGAAAGTCAAATATTTGCTAGAAAAACAGAAATTTTGAGATTAATCTCAACTTGGAAATTTTTCAAGAAAATGTTTTATTGTTTTTTTGAGGCAGAAATCTACTCCTCTTGTTTTATATACACACACACACACACACACACACACACACACACACACACACACACACACACATATATATATATATATATATATATATATATATATATATATATATATATATATATATATATATATACACAATGGCCCTGAATGCCGTCATAGGTTAACATCCAAGTTTACTCCACAGTCACTATTAGGGAAATGAAGGCTAAAATAGTGAGAAAAAAATCGGCCATAATATTTTACATTTTACAATAACAATAAACCTTGAATAAAAAACATTTGCAGACCCTAATACAAAAGACTAATAGGAAATTGTTGTTTTTTTCAGCTTCTGCTGACCTCTATCCATGTCTGTAGGTTGCGGAAGGAAGCCATTTTGGTTACATCATAAACAAACACCACTGCGTGGACGTTGCGGTAATAGTGTTCCACCATGGATTTGCGAAAGCGCTCCTGACCTGCCGTGTCCCACACCTGCACCTGTAGAGACAGACAGACAGATTATATTTTCTTCATTAATGGTGACCTTTCTTTTCTCAGTCTATAGTTTGATAGATGAGGTTGTATCAGAACCAAACAAGAACTACAAAATCCACTCTTGCAGGTTTTATTGTAACCTTTTAACGATTCACCAAACAATACCAAAAAGAAAGGTATAATGTTATGAGGATAATTACTGGAAATAATAGGAGAATAAAGTCATAACATGATGACTTTATCTGGTAATATTAGGACTTTATTGTCTGAATATTGTGATTTTATTATTGAAATAATATGACTTTATTCGCATATTTTTACAAATTTATTCTCATATTTTTACAAATTTATTCTCATGTTTTTTTTTTCGACTTTATTCTTGGCTTTTTTTTCATAGTACGGCTCTAATGCTCTGTCGTACTTTGCTTATTAAACAATTGGAAGCTAAATTAGAAATGTTTTCTAGCAAAATATTAAGCTGAACTTGTAATTCAGTACCTTCTTGTTTCAATATCTTCACGCCTCTGTGGAGGAATTTTGAGCCTCTATTATTTCTCATGTTGCTTCATTTCATTAAGTTTTGCAGACATCTGTTTCTGCATACGTCCTGTCACACCATTTCAGTCTGTGTTTGAGACCATTGTTCTGTTGACGACCCAGTTTGTGTCACGTTTCAGCTTTGTGATGGCAGAAGGCTTCAGCATACGGAGGAGTCGATGATCTACTCAGTTCTCCACCACCGTGCTTCGCTGTTGGTATGAGATGTGCATTTCGGCCAGACATCTTCACTTTGGTCCCATGTGTGAACATTGCTCTACAAGTCTTGCAACTCAGTCGGATGCAACATTTCAAACACTACTCTCCTCCGAAATGTAAGCAAGAGGTTTTGAAATCAGAATCTATTTTCCAAAAGGTTATCTAAGTAGACATCTCCTCTGACTTCTCAGTGCCCTCAGTGCCGAGCCACTCCAAAGGGAGAAGACAGATGGAGGACGATGACCGGACAACCCGGCACATGGAACCAAGATGTTCATAGATCTATTGGAAGCAATAATCGCTTCCCTGAGGCCTGTACAAGTATCTCCTCATCTCCATTGCATGCCGCAGACCAGAAAACAGCCAAAAAATGTTGCTTTTACAAAGGAAGTCACAACAACTGATGATCAACCAGTAATCAGGTGAATCTTATCAGCAGCACCTTCATAAAACGTTTGATCTCGAGGAAGCAGCAAGGCTGTAATTCATTTTGGCTTCATCTGATAACAAGAGAAGAATCTGTTCCATGTGTTTGCACAACTGAAATTAGGTTTAACTAAGAAAAACGAAATGGAACTAGGAAAAGTCCAGCTTCTTTTCTTTCTGTCCTTCAAAGGACAAGCAGCTTATGAACCACTAATGCATCAACATTACAACTCCAGGCATTGTACCAAGACGTTCTCACAGCTTTAGGAGAGCGCCGTTCTCTCTAACTCGATGGAATTATCTGCGTGATCAGTAATGCAACTAACAGTCAGTATTTAGCATGGATTTGATAACATCTGACTGGTCTGTTGCCGAGTCAGTGCTTGGTTGCTGCGGTGACACCGGGACTCAGTGGCAGAATGAGAGGGGGAGGATGAGTTGGTAAAACAAAAACATGATTCTTCACACTGAATAACTAGTGGCGCAAATATACATGCAAAGATTAATATTCCATCTATCGTGAGGCGGTTTGATTACATGGGATTGATCCTGACACACACACAGCCTTAAAGTGGAAGATGTTTGTACAGGAGGTTCAGTGGTTTAGACACGCGGGCCTCAGGGGTAATGTGGACAGCATTTAGTGTCTGTTTTTGACTCAGCATTGTGTGTGTGTGTGTGTGTGTGTGTGTGTGTGTGTGTGTGTGTGTGTGTGTGTGTGTGTGCGTGAGTGCGCAGGGAGAATCTAAGGTTGCAGGCATTTTGTTCCTTATAGACACAGATCAACCACTAGAATGAGGCTGGGTACTCAGAATCACAAACTTCAATGTAATTTCTAGAGATCTTGGGTGACAGATCAACTTTTATTAGTGCATAGCTGTGATAAAAATGTGTTTTTGTTTTGTTTCTTTTTTCCCCCCAAAGAACAATCTAAAAAGTGATTCAATACTTGTGCAGTTACACTCTGGCCATCTCAATTACTTTGCAGTGTTCAAGTCCTGCCATTTATTCTCAGTTAAGTTTAGACATGGAACATTTTAACACGTATGGTTTGATCTAAGCCAGGGGTGTCCAAACATTTTGTTACATGGGCCAAAACAAAAATAATTAATAAAACTAAAATCACTAAAATGTTGTGATTTTCTTTTCTTTTACCTACTCAACAATAAACTAAGCAGGAATTACTTTAATTAAACAAATAATCTGATTTTTTGTTTGTAGGAATGGAGTTGTCAAATGTTTTTCTTTATATATATTTTTTGTCCTTATTAAATGAAAAGCCACCAGATTGCTTAATATGTTGGGCTCGATTGAAGAAAGCTGCAAAAATATTTTGTCTGTTCTCAGCAGTAAAAACAGGATCTAGGTCAGTCTTCATTTGCTGTATGTTGCCAAGGTTTAATGCAGCAATTAGCAGATTTAGCTGCACCAAGATGAACTTCAGAGTACGAGTCACAGAACAGATGTGGTCCTGGTTACCGTGACAACAGAAGGAAAGCAGAAAACTTGGGAAAAAAAGATCATTCTGTGATATTGATTTAACGATACAAAAGGTGGAAAAATGTGAGGATGCTACAATTACCAATTTGTTAAAATCTCCTTTCCTGTTTTTGTCTCAGTATAAGTCTAAATTAACCGTATAACACCTATATTGTCTTGCTTTGTTTTCAACAACAAAGGGCGACAAATCTTTCAAGTTACCGTGAATTTCTGCGTCCATTTCTTAAATATAAAATACATGGTACAGTGGCGCAAAAAGTGGGTATGCACTACATACGACGCATAAAGGCGCTGCGCTAGGGGGCGCCAAATCAAGGACAGAAAAATTATTCTGTATTGAGGCGCGATTTTTTTTTTCTTCTTTTTTGAATCGTGTTCCTTCAACGGCGTTTTTACGCCCATTGTAGATAGAGAGAAAGGAGGAGTAAATTTTCTTAAGTAAATAAATACATAAAATAAAAATTAAATTTGAAACTTTGAGAATAAACTCAGAAATATTCTAGAAAATACTTGGAAATGTCAGAGTTAAAAAAAAATTACTTTTGAAAGTCAGATGTTTTCAAAAAAAAAAAAAACATTCTGACATTAGTCTCAGAATTTCTGTTTACTTTAGCCTCTTGCAAATTTTTTACTTTTCCTGCTCAGAAATGTCCTTGTTTTTATTTTTATTTTTTAATAGTCTAAGATTATTATTTATTTCTCCTTTTCCCCCTACCCACAATAACCCTAATAGGCCGTCTGATGTTGTCGACTGATGACAATAGAGAGGCAGAAAAAAAAAGCTATCGGTGGCAGAAAACAAACAAAAAAAGGACAGACAAGGATAAAAATGTTACAGGGATGACAAAAGCTTTTCAAAGTGGTTGATAAACAGTAGGTAAGTTAATTCAGTCTATCCAGAGGAGGCTTGCAAAAATTCAGGTTAACTCAAGTTACTTGTAAAATGACAGGCCACTGTTGTTTTGCAATGTGAGCCGTAGTTACAGGTGTGAAGGGTGATATAATACATACCTCAGAAAGTACATATCAGCACCCCTGCCCATAGATAATCAATAAAGCTGAGGAGAGAACTGTGCTTTCACAGCCTGGGGAATTAATAAGAGAGCAGGCCCGAGTCATCCTCTGAGCTGAAGCCCGGGGAGGGGGAGGGGCGGAGGGCGAAACACCGCTCCTCTCGTCCACATCCAGCTCCGCCGCTGCCTTTACCTTGATGGTCTCCCCTTCGATCTCCACCGCCTTCTCCCTAAAGTCCACGCCGATCGTGGCCTCGGTCTTGTCGGGGAAGCTGCCCCCCGTGAAGCGGAAGGTGAGGCACGTCTTCCCCACGTTGGAGTCCCCGATGACGATGATCTTAAAGATCCGCGTCTGGATGCTCGTATCCAGGGAGGAGGTGCTCAGGTCCACGGAGGAGGTGAGGCTCGGGGCGGCGTCGCTGCTGCTGCTGGCTCGACTCCGGCCGGCTCTGTAGAAATCCATGGAGGATGTCAGGATGGTGACATTGTCGTCCGCTCGGTTTCTTCTGGATGCTCCTCTCCCCGCGCTCCCTTCTCCTCCGATGCCGCCGCCCGGAACTCGGGTCTCCTCCTCCGGGGAATCCTTGGTCATTATTGCCGGAGGAGGCGATGCGCAAGTCGGGGTGCGTGAATGGAGAGAAGTGGGGGGTTGGACGGATTGAGAGGAGAGTGAAGGGAGGAGAAAGGGAGGAGGAGACCAGAGATGCAACAATGACCACGATGCTGTCTTTCAGCAAGTGACGGAAGCCTTAAAGGGAGAAGAATCATTATCAATTTAACAAAACAATGACTGATTTAAGCCTGAATCACAACAGCATGAATGCATTTGTAAGTTTTTAAAAGTAATTTATCTGAATTATTATTATTTTTTTCCATTCTGGACTTCATTTTGAAAAGATAAGAACTGGTTGTAGATGTTTGTACTTCATGGTTCATCTTTTCTAATCTATTTGGTAGAGATGGGCGGATCTATCCAAAAATATCACTAATATCGATTCCAAGTTGGTGTCAGTATCACATTAGTACCAGCGTGATAAGATCGAAACTTTTAGTTTCAGATTACCTCTTGACAATTTTGTTTTGTTTCTATATTGTAGTTTAGAAATTCTACCTTAGAACAGATTTCGGTTTGGATTTTCTCTCAAATGATAATTTTCTGTGCTCTGTTTGCTTAGAAAAAAAATGCATACTAATGTGTTTTTCTTTTCACTTGCTGTGTTTTGCTTTTTTTCTGGTTTGTACTGGTTGTCATGTTAATATGTTATCAAAGTATTTCATAAAGGTGTTTTGTAGACACCTTTAAACTTTGTCTAAATTTTGTCACAGGTTTGAACAAAGATAAATAAAAGGAACAACAACAAATACCCATGAATGTCAGAAGTTTGATGATATATCAAACTTAAATTAAAAGTATCAGTATTGGTATCAGTATTGGCGATACAGGCCCTGTATTTACTTGGTATTGAATCAATACCAAAAAATGCAATATGTCACAGATAATTATTTCTCAATTATCAAAGAAAAAAATGATTTATTTTTCTGATTACACAGGACTGCACATTTCCTATCCTCACTTTATTATGTGCATGATAAATATTTTCAACTTTTTCCCCCCAGAAAAGTAACCAGCACATGTTTATGAATCACATGAACATGAATCAAAGAACTTCTAAATAAAAGGGTTTTTTTTCTTTTAGGTACAATGTCATGGCGACTCTGAATTTTCTCACGCAGCCTTGCCACATGATCTGATCAGCCAGTTCACATTGTCACATTCCACAAAATAACCCAGTTGTTAAAATGCTGAGGATTGTGGCAAACCTAGATTCCAGTCATCTTTAACATAATGTGAAGATGCCATATTAAATTAATACTATATGCAGTCATATTGAAATGTAAACTCTATTGCATAACTAAATTATGAGAGCTACAGGGTTTTATTCTGAATCAGAACAAAATAAAGTGGACTTCATTGTCTCAGTCAGAACATCTAATAACAGAATTTTACTTATTTCTAAGTCCAAAAGGTGAACTAAGGTATTAGCAGGTTAACAAGAAAGGTTTATTCTGTAAAAATTTACTTTTTTTTTTTTTTTTTTTTTTTTTAAAAAAAAGCCCTTCTATTCTCTATGAAGCGAGAATAGATTTATTTATTTAAATAAAATGTGGACTTTTTCTCCGTTAACGCTTAACTGATAAACAAGCCTCCAGTCACTAGGCGGCAGCACTGTTCAAATTAAGCAACAGACTGCCTGTTCAAAAAAGCCAGATACTTGCTGGTGTAAACAGAGCTGACAGTGAGTGACGGAGGAGGAGACAAGCGCGAAGGTTTTAAAACATATCTACCTCCACAGAGGAGAGATGGAGAAGTTTGTGACAGTGTAAAGAAAAACGGCAGAGGAGGTTAGTAAAGAAAGTATGACGGAGTATTAGGTCAGGCTATTTTTTTTAATACAAAAAGAAATACAAGAATTATACTACTGGCAGAATAAAGACGCAATACTGACTAAAAATGTCATTTGAATGAGAAAAACGCTTAGATAAAGTTATCAAGATCTGACATGACTAGCCCAGCAAGTCCGTGGTTCTTTCTTTGAAATGTTGAATAGTTTAAACAATCATTTCAAAGTCCTGGGCAGAAAATAATTTCATTTTGATGTGTTAAAAGGTTAAAAATGTCCTTATTGTAAAACTGATGCCAAGTTGCTTGCTCTTCTCAAACAACTTTTTTTTTCTCGTATTACAAACAAAAAACCTTAGTCTGGTGAAACTGAAGTTGACTAAAGGGAGACGCATAATCACACATAATTTTTCACCACCTTCAGCATCTTTCACCTACACTAGTTAAAAAATCTACAGCACGTGGACTCTTTAAACCCAGACTAGATTAATTTCGACTAATAGCAGAATATTTAAAACCAAGTTTGTGATTTGTGAAACCTTTAACTGATTTGTGACACTTCAATAAAGGTTGATTTTTATTATTATTATTATTATTATTATTATTATTATTATTATTATTATTATTTTGCATCTGGACCACATGAGAACTTTATGGGACATGGAGGATTTTTTTTTCTTTTGCGTTACCTCGCAAAACTCCTGCGTTTTCTCGCAATATTGCACTAATCAGTTTGTGTGGCATCATTGAATAATGCAAGCCTTTCTTAAGGTGGCCATCGTACTTTCTGCTATAAGGCTTTTGTGAGATTTTTCCATGTATGTTAATATCTTATTGTGAAATGTCTGAAGTTGTATGTCTTTTTCTTTAGGATAGAAATGCACCACAAACCTGGGATATAAGCAGAAACTTTCCATAAGAAGGAAAGAAATAAAAAAATACATCCAAACTATTTGGACTATTTCTGAGTTATCACAGGATAATAAAGTCATCTGACAGTTTTGATTGTGTCTCTTTTGTGTTGGTCTGAATGGTTCAAAGGGATGTTTTCATGTGCAGTTTCATCTCAAACTTACACAGAGAGACATAAACATGCAGTGAATAAATTGATTTACAATTGGTTTTTTGCACCAAAGAGTTCAGGCTCTTTAAATATGTATACATTTGAAATTTTAAATTGACATTTGTGACTGTACACAAAATAGACCAGCAAATATTACAGTAAGCTTATTGCGAGGGAATGCTAAAGAAAAATGTTCCCCATGTCCCTTTGAGGACTCTGTAGACCTTAACTCCTCCTTCTCTAAAATGTGCATTATTTTGCTGATATTTCCACTTTTAAATTTCTGTTTTCTTCATTTTTTTATCTTAAGTGTAGCAAGATTTGTTTTTACTTTTTTTTTCTCTTATACCTGATCAGGGGGTGTCAACTGGGATAATGCTTCTAACAACTTAATGTTCTCTTTCTTCTGGCATTAACTTTTTGCTATTTTTAATACAGAATGTACTCCTATGCTAGTGCTTCTTTTTCAGTGTATTTGCTTAAACCCCCGGTGGGTCATGGTAGATGGCTGCTCACACTGAGCCAGCTTCTGTGGGAAGTTTCTTTCAGGTTAGAGGAAGTGTTTGCTCTCCACCACTACATGCTTGCTTGCTATACGCTTTTGCTGCAAAGTTAAAGACAAATGCAAAGTGGTTATAAATTGAACTTGGAAATTGTTTTGAGACATAATATAATTTCACTTGCTGATAAATTTCCCAAAATAAAAGGGCTTCCCACTAATATTCTAATCTATCTTTAAATACTGCTGGAATGTAGTGTGTTATTTTACTAGATAAATGTGTCACCAATTTTATGGAGACATAAAGACTGTCTTCACCATAGAGTCGTTTTCTTTTTTCTGAAAACCGCAGCCAGACTGTTCTTGCGTTTAGCAAAAGACAAAGGAGAAAAAAAAAAATTTCACTTACCTTTTTCATTTGTACCTCACGAAGAAGCAGCACAGTGTTTGTGATGCTCAGCTTTCATTTGAACTCAACCCTGCAGTAGCATCACCTGCGAGACACACGCCCGCCCGCCCACCTCTGTTGACACGGCACAGCTGTCTGCCGACAGCAGACTGAAATGTGGACGGAATGACAAAACACTTGTCCCTATTTCTTCCTTTCACAAGCACAAACACAGGCGTGCCGCTCGATCTCTTCCTCTCAGAGACACCCACATAATCTCTTTCT